AGATACTCAAATGTCCCAGTCTGCAGCAGAATCCCCAATGTAATTCCCAAGTCCCAGGGCCTGGCATGGGGCTGGCTGGGAGCTCCTGTCCTGACCTGCCCCACTGCTGGGAATCCGTGTGCACTCGCCGTGTGTCCCACTGAACGGCAGTGACATTAAAGCCAACGGCACTAAATCAATACCACCTGTCACATGATGCCACCGTGACATTTCTGGCATCAGCTCTCCCTCTAATAGGGGCTGGAACTGGGAAGCAGCAGCAGTTAGTGAATAATGGATCAGATACGCCTGATTTGTAACATTTACAGAGGGAGGGCGTGTCTCCCAGCGACAGAACAAACCGGTTATCAAACGGGAACTGGGAGTTCTGACTCGTCCGAAACGCAACCCCTGAGCAGTGCAGAGCACAGAGCCAGAGCTTGGGAACCCGAGGTGCTGCCCAGACCACCAGTGCTCCCTCCAAATTAGACTCTGGATCAACAAAAACAGGCATTAGTGTCAAGAAATAACCAAGGAAGGAGGGGCTGGGGTGAGCTGCGGATCAGAACTGGTGTAGCTGGTGGCTGGGCTGTGGTGGCTGATGGAGAGCAGGGAGCCTGGCAGCAGGTTGTGCAAAACACACCTGGGGCTGCCTGAGGTGAGCCTGAGAAGCTGTAGGGAAGGATGGAGGATGAGGAGGCTCAGGAGGCTGAAGGCCACATCTGTCTGGCTGTTCCACATCTGAGCCCTGCTCGCCAGACCCAGGTTGGGAATGCTGACAGTACTTTGGTTTTTTCAAGTTGAAAATTTTGATGCTGAATTAGAACAAAAAGATTCTTACAAGGGATTAAAAATAAGTTGCATATTTGCATCTGCCTCTGTGACACCCAAAAATCAAACTGCACAAAACCAGAAACTGGACAAAAAAAAAGCTAAAACGAGCCAGTGCTGCAGCTGGCCATGAGGAGCTGGAATTTGCATCCTTCATCTCCAGGGTCTTTGACCTGCATGTAGCAGAGAGATGCCCTCTGCCATTTTCACCCTGGCCAAAATTTGTATTTGCTCATGTAACAATAGAATTCTCCAGAAGGATCTGACAGTGTTTCCTGTTTCAAGAGTAAAAAGCTGAGACTTCTGTCCTTAGCACATAAAGTGACCGGATCTCCATCCTCTGAGCCTTCTCACTGACAGAAGTCACTTATCGGATTTGGTGTGGACGGAAGGAAGGGTAAGAAAGGAACTCTGTCAATCCATGACGTGAAATATTTTATATTAAAAGATTTGGCCGAGGGTTTTGTGTGACTCTAAACAGGATGAGATAATTTTCCAAGGTCAGCTCTCCTGTGCTCTCAGCGTTGGGTTTAGTCACTGAGAAGTCAATCCCGTAAACCTTCACAGCAACATCCTGCCAGTGATGCAGAGACTTGGCTGTTGTTGGCTTCAACAGCAGCTCTGCTGCATCTTCAAAGGGCAGGAGGCTGCAGAACGTGCAAATTGCCTGGTGAGAAATGTGTGAGCAGGAAAGAGGGCCTGGCAAATCAATAAAAACAGAGCAACCTCAGCCATGGTTTAACTCTTCACCCAGGCAGTTGCAACTTGTTGTTAAGAGAAGGCCACAGTGAACTGGTGGGGCAGAAAGTGGGAGTTGTGACCTCAGCTCAGCCCCCAGGCAGCTGTGTGGCTTTGGCTCCTGAACTGGTTTTCAAGCAGTTTAGTTCTTAGAACAGAATTGGTACCAATGAACCTTCTTGGTGAGTCAACTGCTCCAAAGCTCCTTTTGGGCAAAAGTTTGTGTTCCTTGACTATTCCAAAGCTGGTTAATTAATGAGGAGCTTTAATTTGTATGGCTAAAGACACACACCCTAAAACCCACCCATGTGTTCCAGTATATAGAAAAGAGATACGTTGGTTCTTAAGGTGTGAAGCTCTGAGCAGCTCCACGTGTTGGTGGTTGGGAGCTGAGCTGGGTTCTCTCTCCACAGACACTTGTGACAGTCCAAGGATGTCACTGCTGCAACATTCCAGCTGCTTTACAAAGTCCTTGTCCCCACATGTTTGTGCAAATGTGGCTCCTGCTCCAGGGATGGGCTTCCAAGGGCTTCAGCTCTGAGCAGCATTGATCTGCAGGAGGGATCTGGTGGGAACTTGTCACTCTTAGGTTGGTTTGATGTGGAGGCATCTGTAGGACAGAGCAGTAGACTCTGGACAAGGGATGGAGGGACAGGAGCCAGGCAATGGCTCCCAGTGCCAGAGGGCAGGGCTGGATGGGATCTTGGCAATCAGGAATTGTTCCCTGGCAGGGTGGGCAGGCCCTGGCACAGGGTGGGTGCCCCTGCATCCCTGGCAGTGCCCAAGGCCAGGCTGGACAGGGCTGGGAGCAGCCTGGGACAGTGGGAGGTGTCCCTGCCATGGCAGGGGTGGCACTGGATGGGCTTTACAGCCCCTTCCAACCCAAACCATTCCATGATTTAAGTAAGGAATGGATCAAACCAAAACAAATAAATCTTTGTAGGGTCAAACAGATGGATGCACTCTATTGCAAGTCTACTTATTTTCTCAGTAGGATTCAGATCTGAACCCCCATGGTCTGTGATTGTCACAGTTCATAGCACTTATCCCTGCTTATTTCCAAGTTATTTTAACCAAACCATAAAACATCTGTAGTGAAGAGGAAGAAATTTGACTGTTGCCAATATTTAATATATCAAACTGGTGATTTTAGTAGCTTCTTGAATCAGGAATAAAGGAAGAGCCTGCATTGCAGCTATTAGAAAAAAAAAAAAAAGAGTAAGCAGGTGTTGGCTTAGTTTCTAAGCGCCCACATTGCTCCTGTTGGTTTATCTGATTGCAAACCAAGTGCACTGTAGCATGATGAATATGTAGCAGTGAATGTATGGGAAAGATGCTGGAAAGGTTGCACCCTGATGTTCTTAATCAGTAATTAGAAACTAAAAATAGTATTTTAAGGAAAGATAATAAATCTGTAGCCTTTAATCCTCATGTGCCAATGTGTAAGCTGATATCATTATTACATGGAAGGCAATGAGAACATAAGTGAGTAAGCAAGAGCAGGTTGCTGTTACAGTCCCAGTATAAATTCCACACAGCCCGAGCTGTCCAGGTGATGTTTGGCTCTGTCTGTTTTATGCAAAGTCTACACTCATAAAGCAGGTTAATTTGCAAACACAGAATGCATACTTTTGTTGTTTATTTCCATTCCTTAACTGCCCTTACTTCCTGAAGCAGTCCAGAATGAGTGGAGTTCCGAGTCTCTCTGCATTTGCCAGCTCGAGGCAGCAGCATGGATTTGGGAAAAAAGGACAGAAATGGGGGAAATGCCGTCCCATGAGTGTGGCTCTGATGCATCAATGGGCTGAATCAACAGCTCCTGTGCTGTGCAGACACACATCTGCTGTGCTGATGACAGAGAAAGCATCCCCACTTAAGCAGAGCCTTTCATCTCAGCATTTAAATAGTCTGCAAATGGCAAGATGTAGTTATTGTGGCACAGGTACCATCCCAGCTAATTCTGCTTACTGTGCTCGAATCAGGCCGCCAGCCTTACCCTGTCCAACAGGGAAACCTCAAACAACGTCAGGGGCTGAACCACAGCAGCAGAGCCACGATTCCCCTGACCAGCCCTCCCCTCATTCACACTCTGTCGTGTCCCTGGCACAACTGCAGGGATTCTTTACCTGGAAAAGCAATGCAAAGTATTTTAAATAGGGTAAACTCATAGTGCAATTCGGTGTCCAGACAAAGGGACTGAGGCACAGTGACCTGCTGGTCACCACTGGCCTGCCCAGGGGCTCTTCGTGTCAGGCAGAAGTGAGAGATCTGTTGTAAGCTAAAGATGGTGGGATAAAAATGTTAAAAAAATATCTATTTGCCAAGCATTTTTGAATTAAAAAAGGCTTTTTTTCCCAGCAGTTTAAAACTCATTTGTCTCGCAGAAATGGCTGAAAGCAAGAGCCAGATAAAATTACTGGAAGTTGCCAGGAAACGTACTGTCATGGCTTAGTGCGAGTGCAGCGCAGAGATGATTAAAAAAGGCACCAAATGGTGAATCCCACTGGAAAAAGAACCAGAAATCTGCAATGGCTCTTTGGGTTCTGTGATACTGAAGGCAGTGGCAGTGGTAGACAGTATCCTCATCCCAAGCTCTGTCCAGCTCTGCGGCAATTCATCCTTTCCAAGAGGAGGAGAAGGGACACGGGCACAGCCAGGGCAGCAGCCCTGCTCTCAGCCTGGGCTCTCAGCACTGGGGACAGAGAATCCCAGAGTGGTTTGGGTTGGAAGGGACCTTGGGGCCCATCTCGTTCTACCCCCTGCCATGGCAGGGACACCTCCCACTGTCCCAGGTGCTCCCAGCCCTGTCCAGCCTGGCCTTGGGCACTGCCAGGGATGCAGGGGCAGCCCCAGCTGCTCTGGGCACCCTGTGCCAGGGCCTGCCCACCCTGCCAGTACAAATCTTTTCCCTAATGTCTAACCTAACCCTACTCTCCTTCCATTTGAACCCACAGCGAGGTCAGGCTCCTCAACTCCTGCGTTTCGCTCATTGAACGCTACCGAGGCCACAGCGGCTCCTCGGGCAGCGCCAGCAGGGCTCCCAGCCGGCCTGGATGGGTGGGTGGGCGGATAGAAGGATAAACGGACAGATGGCTGGTTGGACGGACGGATGGCTGATGGGTGGCTGATGAAGGGTGGCTGGAAGCCGCCGCGGCCGCTGCCGCTGCTCCTCCCCCGGCCCGTCCCGTCCCGTGCCCGCGCTCCGCGCCGCCTCTTGCGGCCGCCCCGCTCGGCTCGCAGCTGACGGGGGCAGCCCCTTGTTTACTGGCCGGGGCGCCGCCGCCAGCCCGGCCTGCGCTGGAAGGGGCCGCCGGGCCGGGGCCGACACCGCGGGCAGGGAGGGGCCCGGCGCTATAAAGGGGCTCCGCGGGGGCTCCACCGGCGATGCTCGGCCGGGCCCGGCCCCCGCGCCCGCCCCGCGGGCTCTGATTCGCGCCGGGCGGCGGCGGCCGCGGCAGCGGCGCGGGATGGGACCGAGAGCGGCGGCGGCGGCGGCGGCGCTGGCCGTGGCCGTGGTGCTGGGAGCCTGGTGCGGCCGCGGCCGCGGCGAGAGTGAGTCGGGGCCCGGCCGGGAGGGTTGGGGGCGGCGGCGGCGGCGGCGGCGGCGGGGAGGGCCCGGCCCCGCCGTGCCCTTTGTACCTGCGCGGGGCCCGCGGGCAGCGCGGCCGCGGCCCGGAGCGCTCCCGGGTCACCTTCACCCCCGGCCCGGGGAGGGCCCGGCGGCGGCCGAGATTGGAGCGGGCACGGCCGCGGGGAGGGCAGCGGCTGCCCCGGCGCGTCCCGGCCCGCGGGGCCCCGCGCGGGCGGGCCCTGGGCCGGGGTCAGCGGGGGCCGCGCCCGGGGCAGGCGCGGGGAAGGGCACGGGCCCCGCTCCGGTGCCGCTCCCCGGCTCCTTCCATGGGCACTTGCCCCGTCCCTTCCCCGATTCCTCTCCGCGTCTCCTACCCAGTCCCCTCCCAGGCCCTGACAGGGTCTCTTCCTCGGTCCCCTCTCCGGGCCCTTTCTCGGACCCCTCTCGGCCCCTTCCCTGGGTCCCCTCCCTTGAACGAATTCCCGACCCCTTCCCCGATTCTTTCCCGTGCCCCTTTCCCAGGTCCTGTCCCGTGTCCCTTCCCCGATTCTTTCCCGTGCCCCTTTCTCAGGTCCTGTCCTGTGTCCCTTTCCCTGGTTCCTTTCCCGTGTCCCTTCCTGGCTGCCCTCCTCTGTCCCTTCCCCAGTCTCTTCCCCGGTCCCTTCTCGGGTCCCTTCTCTGATCCCTTCCCCGGTGCCCTCCCCAGCCCTGTGCCCCCGCCGCTCCTCGGCTGCCTCAGAACCGGCTCCGGTTTCAGGAGGGTTTAGTGTGGCCAGACGCGGAGGTTTTGTCTTTGACCACTTTTAGGTAGTGTGCCAAATCCACAGGTATTAAGATGGGAGAGCTCCGGGGGGAGGCTCTGTGTGTACACAGGGGCTTGTAAAATACAAGACAGGGGAATAAAGATGTTGTGTTGGAGGTCACAAGCTTGTTAAACCCACGGCTGGCTCGAGGTTAAGCCTTACGAGCTGTTTTGATGGGTTACGTTAAATAAACTTGCTCAGGAAATCCTTTTAATGAGAGGTTCTTTAATTTTAGGCGATCCTTACAAATTTTTTTGACAAAAGGAAAATACTTATTTAAAGACAGCTAACTGGATCTGTGGGTCATGTCTCCCATAGACATTCTGCCTGTTGGCTTTCCCACGAGAAGAGGCAAGAGAATCAGTTCAAGTACAGACAACACGGTGATGGACATTATTGGGATATGTATGGGATTCAGGGAATAAAGTAGCATGTTCCTGTAAGACAACCTCTTTTTCCAGCGATAGGACAAGTCATATATTTCAAAAATAACCCAGTTTCTTCCCTGAGGCGTTTGAAACCTCACAAGAGGCCGGTGACACTGTGTTACCTTGGGAGGGTCAGCCCCAGCTGCTGTGGGCAAACCTGCCCTCCTCCAACAGAGATGGAAAAGGCAGTTGACATATAGCACTAATAATAAATAAATACGTGTGCAACTGGAGTCCAGCAGTTCCTAATTTGAAAACACTATTATTACTGCCACAGCACAGCCTGTGATTTGGTTATTTATTTAAATCATATTTGCTTTTTGGGGTTCAAGCATGTTTGTGTTCTAAACTCCCTAATCTTTGCTGTGTTACAGCGTGGTAGGAAAATGTTCTCTTGAGTTCATGGATGGAGGAGCAGGGGCACAAGACAGCAAAGCAAAGCGTGGGCTGGAACATTTCCGTGTCATTCTTACCATGCAAATACTTGATGAAGTGTTCTACAGACAGTTTGGACCATCAGGGTTCTGATGATTGAGCCTGATTTGAAGAGTTTTCAGCTGCTGTGGTGTTTGATTCTATTTTCTGGGGGCTTGGCTCAGTTTTCTGGGAATGGTGAGGTCACGGAGCACCGCGGTGGGGATGGAAAACAGAAACAAAAAACCAGGGGGGGAAACGCACATACGAGAGCTGCATGAGCAAACAAGTTGTTCCCTGAGCAACGGCTCTGATGGAGGCAGCTTTCTTGGAGATTGTGCCCTGTGTTCCCTCACACAGCCTCTCCAGGGACAGAATTCCCCCCATCCATGGTTTTTCCTTGTGCCCCGTGAATTCCTCTCCCCTTCGGTGCCTTGAGGCAGAGTTGGGGCAAGCAGCAGGTAGATGGAGGTGGTTCAGTAGAAGAATGAGGTGGATGGTGAAGTTCACATTTACATCCAGATTATGAGCATCTCCTCCTCAATCCATCCCCTTTTCCTAAATATTTTAGGAATACTTCATGTGAGAGCACAATATTCATGTGAGAGCACAATATTCATGTGAGAGCACTCTTCTCTCCTACTGTGGTTAAGGGTAGTTGCTGAGTTCAGGAATTCCTGAGAGGAGAAGAAGAAAGGGTTAAGGAAAGAAGGCCTGACTTGTGTGCATGAAATGAAGATCCATATATCTTATTTTGGGAAGAAAGACAGTTTTGTGTATTTTTTTTTTAATGACTGTGTAAACATAATGCAACTTCTTGAAATAAATCTCGCACATGACTCATGCCTGTCAGTTCATTAGCTCTGGTATTTGGGGTGGGATTTACCTCACCTAGTTTTAGGCATCTGCTAATGGAGCAGCTTCCTTTGGGCTCCTTTTCTGGTTAATAGAAAACTGATCAATGCAGTCATGGGTGTTTGGAATGCTCTTCCTCCCCTCCTGAACTCTTCCCCTAAATTTGGGAGCTGCCCATGTGCTCCAGTACCTGCTGCTGATCTGAGCTGGGAATGCAGTTGAGAGATCTCTGCCTAAGTCCTCCTGTGGGACAAATTTCCCTGTGAATTGCTGTAGTAGCACACTTCTAAAATAGGTTACTTCTTAGTATCATACCTGGCTGATACAGATCTTTTTGTGCTCGTAAACTCATTAAGAAACTGTTCCCTTGTCCCACCTCAAGCCTGTGTTAGAGACTCGGTCTAGAATGAATTTTTAATGAGAATAAAAGTAGAAACAAAGGAGAGGAAAGAAGGAGAATGAAGTAGGAGAAGTGAGTGCAGAAGGGCAGGGCTGTTCCAAACCCAGCGTGTCCTGTCCCTTTTTTGGGGAGAGGCAGCACAGTGGCTGTCCCTGAACAGTGTAAAGGCCCAGAGCTTTCTGGAGGTCAATTTTGGGGTGAGTGCCTTGTGGAATACCAGTGATGTTGATATGGGCAAGGTGTAGAACCTGTTCCTGCTGCCTTTGGAGCAGGGAGGATCCTCAGGTGTGTCAGCCCCAGCACAGACCCCGCTGCTGCCCCGAGTGCTCCTGGGGTGCTGTCACTGGTTATCTCTGCATGGAAATGGGGCAGGACAAGTCCTGTTTGCAGTCTGGGGTTTGAACCAAATGAGGGGAGCATAAAGACAGCCCAAACCAGGCTTTTAAGGGCAGACTTTGAGGGGTTTGCCCTCCGTTTGGGCAATGAGATGCTTCACTCATTTCTCTTTAGATTCACCTTTAGCCAGCCTTTGTTCCTTAACACATCTTTTGAGAATATTTGGAGTTGTTAGCCTTTGGTCACCTTTTCTGCAGCCTCCAGTGGGTGTCAGGATGGGGAGAGCTGGAAGAGAGGGAGGTTTGGACCCTGTGTGGATGTTGGGATGGTTGAGTTTTTTGTGGAGGTTGAAGATCTTTGAGCAGCTTTTGGGCTGTTTGGAGCAGGAGCAGCATGGCTCATGTTCGGGGTGATCTCCAGAAGCTTGAAAGGTTCAGGAGCAGAGTGATTTCATTTGGGTTTGAGGCAGGCAGTGTATGGGGCACCTGAGATGTTCCCTGAAGCCTGGGGGTTTTATAGGGGCTCATTTTGGTGTCTGTATCCAGTTTGTACAGCTCCAGGTATCTGAGGTGCAGAACTGAAGTTTAAAAACCCATATTTCACAATTAGATGGTTTTTATGAGTATTAAACAATTGCTGCAGTAAGCCAGGAGCTGTCACACAGTCCTTCCCTCTAACCTGGTACCACAATGTTTTCCTGTCTCATCAGTTAATCCCAAACACCCAAAAAAGAACAAGAAATCCCCAAAATCACCCAAAATCCCAAGAAAGTCCTTTTCCCAGTTCCCTAAAGCCACTTCTAAAAATCAGCTTTATGTAGAATTGCAATGCTTTTGACCCAAGCAAGTGTAATTTTTTTTTTGCAATAGTTTGTTTATTCAGTAGGCAGCAAAGACTACAAAAAAAAAAAAAGCAGAATTAACCAATAGTTACCTCAAATGGTTTGTGATCCTTCTGTGCCAGATTACCCTGATCTTGATTGTTAAAGGCCAGAGCTCTGAAGCAGTGAATCATTAAGGTTTGGTATCCACATGATTTACTATAAACAAGGTTTAAGTTCCAGCTATTCCCCTGGTTAGGCTCTATCTTGAAAACTTAACCTCTGGCATCAGATCTGGTTTCTTCATTCAGGACTTGAAGGTTGTTACCAAACCAGTTTGTCCAAGAGGCTTTGGCATCCTGGGATTTGTTTGTTTGTTTGTTTTTTAAGGAGCGTGGCTTCAGCTTGGTTTTCTGGGGGGGCTGGTGGAACATGTGTAGGATGATTTAGTAATTTTATTTTATTTTTTTTTTTTTGAGTGAGTAGCTTGGTAGCAGGGATGGAGCTGTGCTTCCTCTGGCAGCTCAGAGCTGTGCTGCTGTTTCTGCTGAAATTTAGGAATTTATGTGTAGTGGGGGTTTTGCCAGTCGTTTGCACAGGAGCAGCTTTGGGCCTACTACTGGAGAATCAATTTGTGATTTTTTTTTTTATTTTTTTCATTTCCCTGAAAGCTGATTTATGTGTTTTTTGAAGCCAGGTTGTCTGTGTTATAATTGATGGCTCAACTTTGCTCTCCTTCTTCTGGGATCAAACCTGCCTTGCCTTCCTACTGAATGGTTGATTAATTCCCCTGTCCTTGCAGAAGAAATACTATCAAGAGAAGCTGTGGAAAAACACTTATTACTTTGCTTAAAACTGCTTCTTGTTGTCTTGGTAACAATAAATTATGGGGTGACTTAAGCTGCTACTGCATGAACAGGAGATATAAACTACTGAAAATTCAAAGGCATGAAAAGATGGAGAAACCTCCAACTAAAAAGCCCATTTTGTTTCAGATGCTCTTAATTCCTCATTATTCTCTTTGATCTTTGAGGTGTTAAAAAGAAGGAGCTTAGATACCATTTATCACTTAAAAACTAAATTGAAAAATAATTAAGTGTGATTTTTCTTTAAATGTGGGGAAAAGCAGCTGATGAACCATGGCTGTTGTACTTCCAGCTCTGCTAGATCTATATTTTTATTTCTTCAAAAGCTTCACTCATTTCTTTTTAGATTCACCTTTAGCCAACCTTTGTTCCTTAGCACATCTTTTGAGAATATTTGGAGTTGTTAGCCTTTGGTCACCTTTTCTGCAGCCTCCAGTGGGGAATCTGTGTCAGGATGGGGAGAGCTGGAAGAGAGGGAGGTTTGGACCCTGTGGGGGTGCTCAGATGGTTGAGTTTTTGTGGAGGTTGGAAGATCTTTGAGGAAGATCTTTGAGCAGCTTTTGGGCTGTTTGGAGCAGGAGCAGCATGGCTCATGTTAGGGGTGATCTCCAGAAGCTTGAAAGGTTCAGGAGCAGAGTGATTTCATTTGGTTTGGGGTGTTTGAGGAGAGGGGTGAGAGCTGGGAACTCCAGGCTGCAGTGACCAGGAGTGCCAGGACACAGGGAATGGCTTCCACTGCAAAAATGAAATTTAGATGGGATCTTGGCAATCAGGAATTGTTCCCTGTGAGGGTGGGCAGGCCCTGGCACAGGGTGGAGCAGCCTGGGATGGTGAAGGTGTCCCTGCCATGGCAGGGGTGGGATGGGATGAGCTTTGAGGTCCCTCTCAACAACACCCAGCCCATTCTGGGGTTCAGATCATCCTCTCAGAATCCTTGCTGCCTGTGGATCTGTTCCTCTGCCAGGCAGGGCCTTGGATTTCCTCAGTGCTGGGCCCCCAGCCTGGGCACCAGGGGTGGCTCCTGCACACCCAGCTCTTAACTCTGTTCCTGCACAAAAAGGAAAATTTCCACAGCCTGAAAAAGCAGCCACAGCCCTTTTGTTCTTAAGTGGGGAGGGAAGACACTGGCCCAGCTGTAGGCAAAAGAGAGAATCCTTTGAGTGGATGCAGTCTTCAAAAAAGGAAAAATTCAGGGAGAATCCACCTGGATTTGAACATTATGGTGTGGTTGATGTTCCTATGAAGTTGGTTTCAAAAGCCAGGCAGTGAGGTGTGGCTTCTCCTGGCCATCCCTCACTGCAGATGCTCCCAGCCCTGCTCAGGTGGGCACTGTGGGTGCAGGTTTGTGTCCAGCCCCTGTGACTCCCCTCATTCTGCCCAAAATGATGAAAGGCACAGGCAGTTGTGCTCAGGGCATTCATGCATCCCTTCAGCCCCAGCAATAGCCTGGAGCTCTGGCTCTCACAAGTAATTCCTGGTCTGTATTTTTTGACCTTTCCTTTTCCTTAAGGTCAGCTGTCCATTCCAGCAGGCACTGCATTGTCCTGTGGGGCAGCAGCTGGTGGTGGGTACCACCCCAACGCTGCTGTGCACCCCAAAATAATGAAAAAAGAATAAGTAAGAACCAAGATGTTGCATTTTGAATTTATCAGGTAATTTTAGCTGCACTGGTGACTTCAGTTGAATTCAGGCTTTCAGTTTCTTACGTGTCCCTCTGTTACTTCTCCTTTCACTGACCTGACCTGCCATGTACTTGCTTCTTTGGAAATACCAATGTTATTTGTTGCAAATAAATATCCAGAGCGTTTCAGCTGAATCTGTTGCTCTCCCCAGGTCTTTTATCCCAGCTTGGGATGTGCAGCAGCACAGTTTGGGGCAGAGGATTGTGGCTGGCTGGTCACCAGGTTCCTTTTCCCACTTTTTCCAAGTACATCCTTAATCCTTGAGGCACCGTGTGCATTGGCTTTTTTCTTCCAGAAAGCAATTTATGAAATGACTTGGATATAGTGCCAAAAAATCCCATTGGGCAATAGCATTGCTGCAAATCCCATATCAGTATTGCCAATTTTTTTTTTTTTTCTTGCAGTCAGTGGAGCAAATTTTTGAATAATTATTAAGATATTTGCATAGAATTTGGTTTTAACCCCTGTGTTAAACCAGGAGGAGTCAGACAATCCTTCCTGTGAAATGTTTGTGTCCACATCAGTTTTGTAAGGCTGGGTGATCCCTTGGAGCTGTGATGTGGTGGTTTTATAGCTGGTGAACTTTACATATAGTGACACAAAGAGGAAAGAGCCTGTGTTTTTTGTTCTGAAGTGGGGAGGGAAGACACTGAGCCAGCTGTAGACAAAAGACAGAATCCTTTGAGTGGATGCAGTCTTCAAAAAGGAAAAATTCAGGAAGAATCCACCTGGATTTGAACATTATGGTGTGGTTGATGTTTCTATGAAGTTGGTTTCAAAGGGGTTGTCACAAAAGGGTTGTTTTGTTGTGCTGTAGAGGTGTGGGGCTACAAATTTCCTTCTTGATTTCTTACCTGTGCTTAGAGTTGAAAAAATATTTTCCTATTCAAACTTTTTCCTTTTGCTGGTTCCTGGATTCCTATTATTCAGTTTACCTTCTAATTTGTGCTTCATGCATTTGTTCACTTTGCCAGTTCTTTGGTTCCTGGTTCTATGAAATAAACTGCCCAGGTAGTCAAGAGAGGGAGATTTGCACCCTTGAGAAAATAATCACAAAAAAAAAAAAAACCCCAACACCTCATCTGAAAAGAATGCTCAGGGCAAAAATTACTAATGTAGTAAATGACTCCTGTCAGCAGAGTCTGGGCAGGAGCGTGGGCTGTGCTCCTGTGCATTTCCAGGTTTTTCTGCTCTCTTCCCAAGCACTACCATCTCTGGCCATTATTCTTTCCTATCTTCCCCTCCCTGCAACCATTCTAAATGCCTCCCTCTAATCCCTTGGCATTAATTGCACAATCTGAGATGAGGTAGGTGTGTTGCTGGCAGCTACCTGAAGAAAACAGCCCAGCCATCCCTTCCCTTTGTGATGTCCCAGCACTGCTGTTACCACTGCAGTCGTGATAGAGGCAACAGGCAACTCAAGATGGCAGAAAAAATGATGAAATCCTCTTGTTTTGTAACCTTATCCCAGGGAATGTTCCCCACAGTGTATTTCTTAACACTTGAAGCCTGCTTTGCTGAGAGGGCCACAAGTCCCCAGCGGAGCTCGGAGCTGTTGGACAAAACTGAGAGTTTGGAAAACCCCCAACAATTAAATAAATGAATTCTCCTTTGCCTCCCAGTTTGCAGGAGCATGGACATCCGAAACAACCTGACCAGGCTGAACATGCTGGAGAACTGCACCGTGATCGAGGGCCACTTGCAGATCCTGCTGATGTTCAAAACCAAACCCGAAGATTTCCGCGAGCTCAGCTTCCCCAAGCTGACCATGATCACAGATTACCTGCTGCTGTTCCGTGTCTATGGCCTGGAGAGCCTGAAGGGCCTCTTCCCCAACCTCACTGTCATCAGAGGGACTCACCTGTTCTTCAACTACGCCCTGGTGATCTTTGAGATGGTTCACCTGAAGGAAATTGGCCTCTACAACCTGATGAACATCACCCGGGGCGCCGTGCGCATCGAGAAGAACAACGAGCTCTGCTACCTGTCCACCATTGACTGGTCCAGGATTCTGGATTCTGTAGAAGACAATTACATCGTGGCCAACAAGGATGACAAAGAGGAGTGTGGAGATGTGTGCCCAGGCACTGTGAAAGGGAAGAGCAACTGTCCCCCCACGGTGATAAACGGGATTTTCATCGAGCGCTGCTGGACACACGATCGCTGCCAGAGAGGTCAGTGCACGGTGAGGGGACTCATCTGGGGCTTTGCTGTCAAATTTTGACCTGTGAGGCCCTGGCACAGGGTGCCCAGAGCAGCTGGGGCTGCCCCTGGATCCCTGGCAGTGCCCAAGGCCAGGCTGGACAGGGCTGGGAGCAGCCTGGGACAGTGGGAGGTGTCCCTGCCATGGCAGGGGTGGCACTGGATGGAGTTTGGGGTCCCTTCCAACCCAAACCACTCTGGGGTTCTTGGAGGCCTGGCAGGTGCTGATTGCTACCCCTAAGCATAGATTCCTAAAAGCAGGGCTGAAAATTGACCTTAGAAGAGGAAGAGAAAACCTTTGGGATGGGTTTGAGGAGTTCTTTCACCTTCCAAACACCTTCCAGAATTCTGTGTTTGTTTCTCCTGCAGAGTCAGGAGCTGCCCAGAACTCACCATTTTAATGGACTGTGAGTGTCTTGGATAACACTTGGTACTCTGAGTGTCTTTATTGGGGTTTGGGGAGGGAATGAAAATCCAGACTGACTGAGAGGCTGCAGCAGGTGGAAGCACAACAGTGGGGAAAAGTCTCAGTGGAATAAACCCCATTTTGGAAAGGTGCAATTCCATCTTCACCAAAACCTTCCTGCCATAAAAAGGTGCAAGATCTGGGGATGAGTGAGCAGCATTTGCACAGAGAAGAAGCTGGAGTCAGACCTGAAGGAGAAGAGAGGAGCTGGATGGGGCAGAGGGTGAAATAAGAGAGCTTTGAGCCCAGGGCTTTGGTTCAGGGCAGAAGCTGTGCTCAAAAAGCTCACTACTCTTGCCACCCAAGTCCTCCCTCAAATGTTTTAGAGTTGCTTTTAATTTCATACAGATTTGTTTTTTTCCAAACTTGGAACTGACCTTAAGCTTAGCTTTAATTATATATTGGCTTTGATTTATGTTAAATCTGACTTGACAGGGAGCAAAGTGAATTGAGGTGAGAGTGACACATTTAGGGTTGTCTGCCTTTCTGGAGGTCGTGCATCCAAACGAACCAGTGTGTCCTGAGACGAAATTAGGAAACTTGTGGGCTGCAGAGAAATTCTTGCCAAGCTTTAAAGGGCAGCTCTGAGTGCTAAGTGCCAAATTTGAGGAGGAATTCCTACCAGTATGCACAAACTAATGCAATTAATGTGGTTTCCCCTCTGCTACTCCTCACCCCAAAATCGTCCAGCTTCCTTTTAAAGAAAGTGGTTATTTTTTGTGGCCAGAATAACAGGGTATGAGCAAGAAGATGCAAGTGTGTACGTGTGTTCCTTTTTTAAAATGAAAAATAAGATTGTAAAGCATTTTATTTATAAACTTTCAGGTATGCAGTTACATCAGCACTGAAACCTGGTTTCTTATGCATTTCATGTGCTGTGTTTTCTGCTGTTTCATAAGGGTAAAGGTCTAATTGGCACTTTTTTAGTGCCTAGAACATAATGCCCCAAAATTCCTGTGAATTTTCTGGGGCTGTTTTGGAGCAGAGTGGAATGGATGGTTTTCCCTCCTTTAAAAAACTGCCTATTTCCATGAAACCTGGAGAAATGTAATATTTTAATGATAATATTTTACCACTGGGGCAGAAATCTGAACTCCTGAGCCTCTGATGCAAGAGTTTGTTGGAGGGCACCTGTCCAGTACCTGCCTCAGCTCAGTCTGTTTGACCCAGAAATTGAGATTTCCATCAGAAAATGGTTTCAAAAAGCACTGTACACACATGCTCTGGTTTTGTGTGTCCCTTGCAGAAGGAACAGTAGGGAAACCATGCTCCTGAATATTTGGGCAGTGACTGGAATGCACTTCCCAAACCACTTAACAAGCCAGGCTTATCTTTGTTTGAACGATTTGGACTTTAGTTTTTTGGTGGCCTCTGATTTGCACAGGCTGGGATCTGTGTGATCCCGTGCCTTGTCACACCTGCCCCTGTGCTTCTGCAGTTGTTTTGACAGCCTGAGAGGTTTTTTCAACCTTTTCTGTCTGTTTGTGAGTAGCCTTTAGACTCTGAGCACACGCCAGTGGTGGAGATTAAGTGACATTTATTTAGCCAACCTGCCGGTGCAATCGCTGCCTCTCTGTTCTCCTGCCAGCCCTAATGTATCCTTAGCGTGTGTAATTGTTTTGTCAAGATTATTAAAAGCTTGTTTGAATTGTATTTTGGCTTTCCTTAGCCTGAAGAGCCTCACAGCAGCTCCCAGTTGTTGCAATGTATTTGCAAGGGTGCATAGTGTGCACCAGCCAAGCTGCTTCTAAGGTTGTTGTCAAAGCTATTAGAACAAAAATTGTGCTAAATTAAGAAAGAAGAGGCTGAGAAACTGAATAGCAAGACCACAAAAACTGGTGAGCAGAAAACTGTAAAACACCTAAACTATAACCAATCATGTACTCCAAAAAATACAAACAAAACCCAAGTGAACAAAACAAAAACACCCATTGAAAAATGTGTATTTAGTAGTTTACAAAATCTATAAAACTATAATGGAAACAATAAACAGCTTCTACTTGATCATATTAGTTGTTCAAAAGTCCTAAATTTCCTACAATACCCAGTACCCAGGGTATTAATGTCATGAAATCTTTCCCTCTGTGTTTCTGCAGCTTATCTGGGAATCTTCAGCAGCTAATGCTGTGCTCAAGTCTCCTGGCTCTCTGGATTTAAGTGTATTCTCTTTAATTTTTTTCTCTTTATCTTCTAACCAGCATGAAATGCAGCAATTTCGGTATCATTTTCAGAGGGAACTTTGGTTTTGTGCGGAGTTTTTAACCCAGGTTATTTGTACCTCTGGTTTGGTTAATGAAACTTGGTGTAGAATCTCCTGGTCCTGTTTTGGTTGGTTTTTTTTAAATTTTTAATTTTTTTTTTTTTGCATCTCTGGATGGGAAGTTGTTGCTGCTGCCCTGGGACTGGGAAAAACCCTTCAAGGATATGTAAATATTGATTGTTTTGATTTTACAGAGTGGGTGTCAATTGACAGAGACAAGTCCCAAGCTGACTGGCTTTTCCAGCTTGCTGAGCTTGGAGTCTCGCTGGAAAATATTAGGAAATGGGCAAGAAATTTGGGAGAGTACCTGTGGGAAGGCTGGAAAATGAAATCCCTGGAAGGAGGGGACAGCCAGGTGGGGATTGGTCTCTTTTTCAAGGAGCAAATGAGAGGAAATGACCTCAGGTTGCTCCAAGGGAGGTTTAAATGGGAAATTGGGGAAAAATTCTTCATGGAAAAGGCTGTGAAGCACTGGAGGTGCTGGAGTTCCATCCCTGGGGGTTACCAAAGGCAGTGAGGATGTGGCACTTGGGGACAGGGTCAGGGATGAGCACTTGGGATGTGGCACTTGGGGATGGGGTTGGGGATGAGCACTTGGGATGTGGCACTTGGGGACAGGGTCAGGGATGAGCATTTGGGATGTGGCACCTGGGGACAGGGTTGGGGATGAGCACTTGGGAGGTGGCACTTGGGGATGGGGTTGGGGATGAGCCCTTGGGATGTGGCATTTGGGGACAGGGTCAGGGATGAGCACTTGGGATGTGGCACTTGGGGACAGGGTTGGGGATGAGCCCTTGGGATGTGGCACCTGGGGACAGGGTCAGGGATGAGCGCTTGGGATGTGGCACTTGGGGCAGGGTCAGGGATGTGGCACTTGGGGACAGGGTCGGGGATGAGCACTTGGGATGTGGCACTTGGGGACAGGGTCGGGGATGTGGCACTTGGGGACAGGGTTGGGGATGAGCCCTTGGGATGTGGCACTTGGGACAGGGTCGGGGATGAGCCCTTGGGATGTGGCACTTGGGGACAGGGTCGGGGATGAGCCCTTGGGATGTGGCACTTGGGGCAGGGCTGGGGATGAGCACTTGGGATGTGGCACTTGGGGACAGGGCTGGGGATGAGCCCAGTGCTGCTGCTGAGGGTTGGATTTGCTCTCAGAGATCTTGTCCAGCCCTCAGGACTCTGGGATTCTCTGAAGGGTCTGGTGTGTGTGGGAAGTGGCAGAGCTGGGGCTGCAGTGGGGTCCTGGTGTCCCCCATCTCTTCCACACCATTCCCTGCCCTTCCCCTGCCAGCTCTCTGTGGTTGCTCCACATTATCCCTCCTTTATTTAATTATTCCTTTATTTAATCAGTGCAAATATCCCAGTTGACTCCAAAACTAACTTTTCAGTTATAGCATGGAATTATCTCCAAGGCACACATCCAAGCCTCTGAATCATCCCTGTAGCTACAATTCCAGCCTGGAATATTTTTATTTTTTTTTTTCACTTGGTGATAACAGTGTTCAGGACAACAAAGTAAAGGATCCTCTTACAGACACTGGAGCAAAGGTTGGGGATGAAACCAGTGGGGAGGAACTGAAATCATTTGTGGGCAGCTGCACCCTTGGAAAAGCCAGTGGCAGTACTGAGGATTCTGTGTCTGAGTGCAGGGATGTGTAGGTGGAAGCACCATGGATTGAGATCCCTCAGGATGTGCTTCCTCAGAGTTTTCTTTTTTTTTTTTTCCCCTCCTAAATCACTCATGTTGGTGTGAAAACCAAGTCAGTTCAGTTAAGGCCAACTCATGTTATATTTTGGGTAGGCAGGGAGGGAAATGTGTAGTCTGTTTGGAATCTGGGTCTAGCTAGCCTGGTGCTGTTTATGGCAGCCAAGTGCTGTTCCTGTTCTGGGGGTTTTGTGCCTCTTCACTGACATTTTCAACAGGGCTTTTTTTTTTTCACAAACACAGTTATTTTATTGCCATCAAAATGTACTTCTTGCTCCTGCACTGCAGAGAGCGTCTTTGCTGAAGAATGCAGACAACAAAAATGCTGGAAATGCCACGTCCTAGACCTCGCTCTGGATCTGCCAAACATGATTTTCATATTTCGCATTTTTTCCACGTCTTTTTTTTTTTTTTTTCTATATGTCTGTCACTCCTCTTGTGGAAGGAACAATTCCCTCTGAAATAGGATTTCCTGCCAATTCTCCCTGCAGTCAGGCTGCTGTGTCCATACAGAACTTGGAGCAGGCTGATGTCTTTG